GGGGGGGAGAAGCAGCCGTGTGCTCTGCTTGTTTTCTTCCTCGGAGGAAGAGCCTCTATGGTCTTCTATAACTCCCCTATGAACCACAATCGTTTGATCCTTACCTGTCAGCACTCCAAGGCCTGCCCGGAGGGGGCTGAAGCCAAGTGACACAACTGCCCCCTGTGTCCCCTTCTCCTGCACCCCGGGGCCCGTTGGTCATTCTGGTACCTGAGCTCCTGGGTACAACCCAGCAAGACCCTGGTGTGGGTCCCTTCTGTGTGGCAGTTACTGAGCCCAGCCCGCAGAAAGGGGCACACGGGGGGTTCGGGGGGGGCCACCAGCTGTGCTCTGCCCCATGCTCTGCTCAACTCCTGTGTCAACGCCTCCTTCACTGCAGGGGAGGGATGCGCTGCTGAGCGGACAGAAGGAAAGGACCTTGGGAGATGGTGTCTTAAAGACCACTATGATGGAGTGAAAGGGAAATACCAGGAGAGGTGTTCAGATCCTGCAGCTTCCCTTCACCCGTCGGAGCGGGTGGGAGCAAGCACTGTCCCTGTCCTTATCTGTAGGGAACAATCCTGCCTTGGCAGGGAGCGGAAGAGATGAACTAAAGTCTTTTCCATCTTATTCTATAGAAACTAAAATCGTGTCTGAAGTACAGACCTGTACTTCATGCAAGATTTTACTACTTTCCTCTAATGCACTTGAATGTTAAGAGGTAGGATGGCAGTAACATCGTAATCTAGGAAGTAAGTGGAGGCATTGTAACTGCGTAACTCAAGTCTGCTCAAACCTAAACCGCTGGCTGGAAACAAAGACGTTAATGGTCAAGCACTCCTGTTATTAAGCCTCTTTTATGGAAACTTATGTTTTTGCTCTTAGCCAGGCCCTTTGCCAGCCAGTCGGTGGATACACGGTCACTACTTGACGTTAACACGAAGCTCGACTAATGGATTCAGGTCAGGACACCGGTTTAAACTCACGCTATGGCTCAGTGAACTGGGTAGTGGAATTAACCCTCTATTAACACATGTAAATACTTACCGTGGTTGACAAGCATGTGCTGGGCTGGGAAGGAGCCGTCGTGTGGCTGCAGCTTCCCTGGAGCTGGGGGTGCACCGAGGCCGTTCCTGGGAAGCCCAACGCTGCCCGTGCAGGAGGTGCTTCTCCTCTGAAGGTTCAACACGAAGCAAGTGCTGTGGGGCTGGGAAACGCTTGGCCACTTTACCAGGAAAGCCAAATACTTCCTGCTGTTTCACAAAAAGAGGGATGATGATAAATTCTCATTGTAACATAAAAAGATGATACAGAACCACCCCACGGCGCCTGTCCTCCTCCCTTGCCTTCAGCAGAGAAACCCTTGCTAGCTCCTGCACCGGGGTGAGGGCCCCGTGTCCAGCTTGGGCCTTCCCAACAGGAGCCTCACATGGGTTTGTTCCACCTAAACTCGATGAAGGTCTTTCCTGGCATGGGAGCACGCTGACCCCTCTCCCCCAGGGCCCAGCCTGTGCTCCCGGTCTCACCCAGCACCACTGTGCACAGCTGGAGTATCTTGTGTATTTGCCTGTCCAAGAACAACAGTGAGGCCGTCGTCATTTCAGTTTTTATTAGTTTGTACATCATATACAGTTTATAATAAAGTAAACCAATTGCATATGGTTCTGCTTCAGTCTGTGATATTCTTCATATAAACACATCATTATGAATTATGCCTAATGAAGTAAACAACAAATATTCACATTTTCGTTACCATTCACATCCTAGAAAGGGGGGGTCCAAAGAGGGACAGTGTTCGTCCCGGTGCGAAGCCCGGCTTGGAGAGGCTGAGGCGGGTGGCAAAGCGGTGGGGACAGCGGTTGCTCCATGCAATACTCCCTTTCCTCCCAAGGGAAAGGTGAAGGTATTTACACTGAGGTAAACATTCAGAATTTCGGGTCAGATAAATACTGCAGCAGGGTCCAGCGTCCTCTCCAAGGTGGCTTCGCATCGGTGTCTGCTTTTGTCCTGACCAGTCCTTAAGCCGTTACAACAAAGCGGATACACATGCAGTGAGGTGCTCGGTGCCCACGCTCCATCCCTCCCGCGGCGCTTCCCTGATCCTCCTCCGGAGCCCGAGCTGTGCAGTGGCAGCGGGTGCAGGATGTGCCCGCCACAGGGGGACCGCACCGGAGCGGCCCCTCCGGGCTCGGCTCTGCACCATCCAAGGGGGAAGGAGAATCCTGGCCCTGACTCCGCAGGGGCACGGCCACAAGGCCAAAATGTTCCAGAGCATCTTCCCCAGCGGACCACAGGGACCATGGAGACAGCTCCAGCCCCCGGGGCTGTTGCACCTGAGCAGCCCCCGGGAGAACAGGGGCTCACTGAAGGGCTGCAGCAGCCACAGTGGACCCCAGCGCTGCTCCCAGCGGCCGGGGCAGGCGGGACACCGGAGCTGCCCTTTTCCCTAGGGAAGGGGTGGGGAGGGTACAAGGCACACAATCGGGATGGAAACCATCCACTTGAAGGTAAGTGACCATCTTACTGACACGGAGAAGTAATTTTGAAAGCAGAGCCAGCCACGGCGTGGTCCGTGCTTTGGTCATTCAGACTGGGCTGCGTTTGGAAACGAAACCAGAACACAGCAGCTTCCCTCCGTATCCCTGTCAGATACAGAAAGCCAAGGGACTTGCAACATCCCATGGATAACACCACTGTTGTCCTTAAACATTCTTTATCCTTTCTCTTGCCTTTTAACTTGAATTACGAAAGCAGTGGGACACCTTTAGCACTGCGGATCCACCTCAAAGCTCACAGACAACCCCACGGACTTTCCTATGTAGCATATGTGGTGGAAACCACAAAGACCCTGTTCAAGCGGGCAGCCAGGAGCACCTCAGCAGTCATTACAGCTGATTCAAGTCCAGGTTCAGTGTATCTGGACAGGACTCTCAATACTCTGAGAGATGCTGACACAGCATCAGATTTGTAAACCCACACAAGGAAAACCACACCAGGCCTCGTGCTCTAGAGGTCTGACCATTGAATGTGCAAGTATCTCCCACACTGACACTACTGATGCACGTTTCCATGTTTCAAGCAAGAAATCACTTCCATCTTTCTTTGAATGCAACTGCATTTCACTCTGAAACTACCCCTACAGCAGCTCGGGCACCACGAGCACCATGACCAGGCGAAACACCATCAGAGGGAAAGCACAAGAGCCCAACAGCTCCTTGTCTCCTGGTAAACACCAGAGAGGCACAACAACAGAGCCTCCTTCCTTCACACTTGGTCTGCCAAGAGCCACGCTTCTCACACAGACGTTCTCCTGCAGTTTAACAACTGCCTGGGCTCTGGCACCGGGCAGGAGCTGGTGGCCAAAGGGCCAACATGCAGCAAAAGCCGCTCGGTGTCGGTGTTCCGGGCTGCCCACCAGGCACAGGGAACAGTTTAGGTACATTTCAGGGCTAAGTATTAAGGCTCTGCCGTTACACCAAAAACTAAACCTTCCAGTACTTACAAGAAAACCCTTCCCACTAAAAAGAAGGGCTTTGTCATCGGTTTCTTCCACTGGCAGAGTTCTGGTCATCCCAAAAGGAACAATGCTGCTAAATGCATCTCACTGGCACTTGTGCTTCAAGGATTTCATACACAGCAGCCACCTCCTACCCCCATCATGAGCTCTTTGTCACTCTAGAAGCAGCACAGGCAGAACATCACTTTAAGATACTTGTTCAATTATCTTTGTGGCAAACTCCTGCGTCTGGTAGCTCCTACGGCAGCCACGGAAGCCAGGCAGGTTGCGAGCAGCAGCAGCAACAGCAGCCAGAACAACAGCACGAAGATCCCTGTGGCCACGTACAAAATACAACCCATGAATAACGTCTGGAGCTCCCAAGTGTGAAAGGCGAGAGCCTTTCCTGACAGCCCCGTGTGTCCCAGCCGGGCTCGGACACGGCGGCGGGCCCAAAACCACCCCACCGGCACCCC